GTATAATACTACCCCCCAACTTTATGGATGATTTTATGGATTAAATTTTATGTATTATACTTGAATAAATACGGTAATTTGTTTATGTGGAAATAYATGAATGCACTTACTGCAACAATGCCTTGGTCTTGCGAGTTGGGTCATCTGGACGGAAATTCTTGTATTCTTCCACCTCTTTTTCCAGKGAGAGGAGCTGACTCTGCAGCTTACTGCGCAGACCAGGCAGCGTATCCCTGATGTGATTGGTCAATTGCTATATAGGTGACAGGAGATGTTTTAGGAAACTATGACATGGCAGGATAAAGATTACACCCCATTGTACCRTTTAAAAAACAAAGCCTGATGAAGGCCGACCTGGTTAAGCGTCTTCTGTAGATGTGGTGTGCCCATACGGTCTGCCATGTGTCTGTAGGCTGGGTGTGACAGAAAGAATTTTCTCTCTGCAGCCAAAGCGGCACGAATGTCTTTCTTCCCRTCAATGTCTTTTTGACTCCGGTTCACAACACCAATGTAACCTAAACACAAAAGSACAAAAGGTTGTACAATTACAAAGCTTATAACACATACAATAAACATGTTGGTCTCTGGGTGGTGTGTAATACTCACCTCTTCGCAGTGGCAGCAGTTTATTTTCAAGGATGTCCCTCGCATCAGTGCCTTCATCCATTAGGTCCAATTTTGTTATGACACCGATGGTTCGCACACCTACAAAAAGTAACAAAAAGGAGCTAAAATATTTACTGGCATCTTCATGACCTGTTGCAACACCATTTGTGTTAAGAAATACAACAYAGGTAGAAGCATGGTACTAAAATGTTTAACACTAACATTTCCAAGCAGCTATAAAAAAATACCAGAGACAAAAATGTTGACAATTAATGGTAAGTAATAGATTGGGTCAAGATTTTACTGACAATATTAAGTTTGTAGGCCTGATATCTCACTGTTAGCTGAGTCTTTACCTTGTGGGTCAACCTCCTTGGCGATCTTCAAAGCGTCCGAGTTAGCCAGATCACTATTTGCAGGAGTGACTGCCAGGATCAAACAGCTCTCCTTGGTAATGAACTGCATCAGCATATCTCTGATTTGATACTCAATGTCTGCTGGCTGATCTCCAACAGCAACCTTGGTCATACCCGGAAGGTCGATCAGGGTCAGGTTCAGGACTAGGTTACAATAAAAGAGAAGTCACAAAATGAGGGAAAAGTACTTTTTTTATCTTTTGTGTTGATTTCCAAAATTAATCATTTTCATAAACCCCCAAAAAAGAAAAAAGAAAAAACAGAATTATATATCACATTTTGTCTCAAGTGTTTTATGACACATTTTCCTCCAATAAAGCAGTTCATATTACCTTTTAGAAGTGCTACATCCTTAATTTATTAAGTATTTAATTGAACCATGTTGGTGATAAATGGGAAAACTCATTACCTTCCAGTATTTCCAGCTAAAGGACATTTATCTAATTTAAGGACTCCCAAGCAACTGCTAATATTTTAAACATTATTATACAGGCTGTAAAAAAGTGTTATTTGATGAGTCCCATTTATTTATTTTTTCCTCATTACAAAAAAATGTAAACTAATAGTTTTCTTTCTAAGTAAATGTTACCAATTAAAGCATTTCCTCCATTCTCAGAAAAAGAGGAAGCTTTTACCATTTTTCTTTGCAAATCTAACCCTAATTTGCATTTTATTTTTAACAAGACTTCTGTGCAGTTTTTAAAATGTTAAATTTATTTATGGTAATAAAAATAAAACTGTCACACTGATAGGAAATGCATTTTTTGGGGGAACAGTTATTCAGCATTAGAGCAAATTCTAAAAGGTTTTACTACAACAAAACATGCCACAAAAAAATATACATAGTAATATTTCATATCTAAAGAACCCTAATGTTGTATAGAAATTGTAGTACAAATTACACTGATTAGATCAACATAATTTGTGAAGTTTTTGTATTTTTCATTGATTACATGACTCTAGGCGAAAATCTATTTCAGACACTGTCAACAGCAGATATGACGATACTGATATAAACTGTACCATCAAATGGAATCCATCTGTTTGATAACTGGAGCATATTCACAGCATTAAATCTTACTGAGTCATCTAACCTAATAGGAACTGAATACAACATGATGATGATGATGATGATGAATATGTTTAAACAGTCTTGTGTCCATTACCATTTGGTGAATAAACCCTCAGGTTAATGGGGATGGGAGAAATGCCTTTATTCGATCCTGTGATTCTGTCAGTTTCTGCCTCGATTTCTGCCCGCACTTCATCAAAATCCACAAACTTCTTTCCTTTGCAGTGCAGGAATTCGGCATATTCTACACAGAGGGGCAGAGAGGAGAGTACAAGTGGTGAAYATGGATAGAGGACATGAAAAAGAAAGCACGAACAGWGGAAAAACAAAAYTGAATTYAAAAGATGAAGGTAGCAAACAGCGTGCCTAGCTTGAGGCTCTGTGATAGAGAGGCAATATGCAGGACGGTCATGAAAGGAAATTGGGATGAGTCTGTGCAYGGGTTAGGCGTACTCACCTGCTATATTATTGACCAGCTGCAAAATGAGAGGTCTGCGAGTAACAATGCCTGATCCTCGAGGAAGAAAGTCCCTGAGTGAAAGAGACAAACGAGACAAAAGGAAAATAAATAAATAAACACCAGAAATGTGCAGACTAAAAATGAGTGGGGGAAAAAATCAATACATGAAAGACAGGTCAAATAAAAYGAGTCAGACATACAAAGCAAAAAAAAAAAAAACGGACAGATAGGAATAACGTTCAATTATTCATTTATGACCTCAGTCTATTTCCTCACAGCATGGCCTCTGATAAATCGACAAAAAAATATGCTTTCAAGTTATCAAACAGATCAAACGTGACTGTCATTTTCTCTCATTTAGGATCTGTCCATCAACACCAGTTCTTGCTAAAAACAAAAAAGAAAATTAACATTATTTGAAATGGTTTAAAATGAGAATGCATGATTGGATTAAGCAAATATATGATTATTTTTTACTGATCATGTTGGATTAGTTGTTTTTCTTTTTTAATTATTTTTATTATTCTCACGCTACAATCAATGCAAGTCAGTGCAGACCCAGAATATACTGTATATCTTCTCTAGTCTGGGAACCCTTTGGTATCCCCCAAAAGGAGCTGGAGAACAATGGAGAGAGGGACTCAACCACTGACAAGAAGCAAATGTCTGATGGATAAATTGTTAGTTAGAGTTGTCTAAATTAGTTTTCAGGTCAAAAAACATATACAAACWAACAGTGGTGTCTGAGCACTACCCACGCAGAAAGTAGATCTTCAACTATGGCTTCCCTTCCACCGAAAACAATGAAGGTGCTGCAGATATTTTCTGAAGGTCAAACCAGAGAAAACAAAAGTCTCACCTGCACAGTTAGCTGTTTATCCAAGCACATTCCTCAGAACAAATGGCCAGCAGTCAAGCTATGAATGCTGGTTAATGAACTGCATATAAATATTCACAACTGCTCTTTTCGACTCCACTTGTAAACATTGTTGACTTTAATATTATCAAGAAGCATTTGCAAATCATGATCAAAACTATATTTAACGTAAACATTAAATAATCTTTTCACTGTGTTATTTATGAGTACAATTTGGCACTGTAACACCAGCTACAATTAAGGCCAGCATTTATATATAGATAAATTATAGCAACTGTTTGCATTGATAACAAAACATGTGATCTGTGTGGACAAACTGTCTCTACAGTATATACTGTGGTTATACAGAAAAACACCAGAGAGAGGACGCAACATATACTAGAAAAGACATTTATTGTGACATAATCGTGCGGCACTATAGTGAATCTCTGTCTGAGGAAAAATGAAACCAGTTCTTGGCTAGCTCTTGAAGCACTAGATTAGAAATGGTTTTAGCATTAGTTCTGAGCCAACACTGGAACCACTTTAGTGGCGAAAACCTGTCAGCCTTAAAATGAAGCATCCCCATCAAGTTTTTTTTAATCCCCCCACTCACTCTCACATAAATCTTCAAGTCCCCTCTTCTGCTCCACAAACATACAACATCTGGGAGAAATAACCCAGCCCCAGTCATAATTCTAAACAGAGCTAAGGAATAAATTAACCTACCATATTTATTCGTGTATAATACGATCTCATGTATAATATGACTGCCCCCCTTTGTTTTAGCTTAAAAAGCATAAAAATTTAATCCTCAAACTACCTCAAATTTCACGCAGACTTCAAG